TTAATAGGTTTCACAAACATTTTAGAAGCTTTAAATAGGTTTCACAAACATTTTAGAAGCTTTTAATAGGTTTCACAAACATTTTAGAAGCTTTTGGGGTCGTGCGGGTCGTTTTCAGACTCTAAAACAGGGTCGTTTGTTCTATGCGGGGGGGTTCTCAAAAAGTGAAATCTATTTGGGATTCTTATTTAAAATTCGAGTGGCTTTGCATGCCTAAATTTTTCTCTTTATTTTTTTTTGGAATCATTCAGTGGGATTATATTTATTCCAGGCAAAAAGCCAATCTGAATTTAAATTACTTGTCCAGGCATGCTTTTTAATATCTGAGTATGCATTTATCAGTATTGGCATGCAAATTCGTGCCTAAGCATGCATTTACCTATTTAAGTATGCATTTATGTGTCTTGGCAAGAGCAATATATAAACCTGTCATTTCATGCATTTACCTGCCGGAACATATCTTTACCAGTGTTGGCATGCATTTACCTCTCTGGGCATGTATTTACCTGTCTGGGTATGCTTAGCCTGCCATAGCATGCATTTACCTGTCTGGGCATGCTTAACCTGTCAGAGCATGCATTTACCTGTCTGGGCATGCACCACGACCTCCTGCACACTGACTCTTAGCATCCAGGTAGTAGTCGTCTGCATAACCCTTCCCACTCCTGTACAGAGGTCATCGTGTACTTATTTCGTGTACATAGTTCAAAGTATTCGTTAGGAGCATACCCTTTCCCACTCCTCATGTACAGAGGGCATTGCATGTGTACATTTTTACTTCGTGTACATAGTTCATAAAAGTCGTTGGGAGCATATCCCTTCGCACTCCTTTACAGTTCATCAAGCAAATTTTTAATACATTTACAGAAATGTAAATATTTTACAATGTGTACAATAATCTTTAAAAAGCACTTTTTTTACAGTTTACTGTGCACATCGTACATTTTAGCGTGTGCATCGCACAATTTACAGTGTAAACCGTATATTTCACACTGTACAATGTACAATTTATAGTGTACACTGCACAATTTACAGTGTACACCGTAAAATTTACAGTGTGCAGTGTACACTCTACAATTTACAGTGTGCAGTGTACACTCTACAATTTACAGTGTACACAGTTAATAATGTACAATGTACAGTGTACACAGTTAACAATGTACAATTTACAGTGTAAACCGTACAATTTAGGTGTATACCGTACCATTTACGGATTACACCGTACAATTTACTTACCTATGATCCATCCATGTGACAGTAGCATCTCCACCAATCATTCTAAAATATTACAATTTTACTTATCATGTACTTATAATGTATTTATCATGTACTAATCATGTCTGTGTTATTGTTAGTTGACTTATCCTCATCCTTTTTTTTATTAATTCCTTGTCTTGTTCTTGTCTTGTTCTTGCCTTGTTCTTGTCTTGTTCTTGTCTTGTTCTTGTACTTGTCTTTTTCTTTTCTTGCTTTTGTCTTGTTCTTGTCTTTTTCTTTTCTTGCTTTTGTCTTGTTCTTGTCTTTTTCTTTTCTTGCTTTTGTCTTGTTTTCTTATTTTATTCCTCTCAGCTTTTTACTTCTCTATTTTTAGTTCTTTTCTCTATTTTTAGTTCTTGTTCTTGTCCTAGTTCTTGTTCTGGTTCTAGTTTTATGTTTGTCCTAATTCTTATTCTTTTCATAGTTCTTTTTCTTGTCCTACTCCTTGTGCTGGTCCGAGTTCTTGGTCTTGTCCTAGTTCTTGCTCTTGTACTAGTTCTTGTTCTTGTCCTGTTCTTGTTCTGGTACTAGTTCTTGTTCTTGTTCTTGTCATAGTTCTAGTACTTGTCCTAGTTCTTGTTCTTGTCCTAGTTCTGTTCTTGTCCTAGTTCTGTTCTTGTCCTAGTTCTGTTCTTGTCCTAGTTCTGTTCGTGTCCTAGATCTAGTACTTGTTCTTAGAATGTTTTGTTTACTTACTGTGTTTTATCTGGGTTCCCAGAGAGTCCGAATGCCATATACTGTCCTTCATTTAGGCGAGCAACCAGCTGGGTTACAATACTTTTACCTCAACAAAAAACACTTTTTGGGACTTGTGAAAAGACATAATTTCAAATGAGTAACATTTAGGAAGGCCATTTTTTATTCTAAATTTGTTGAATTGTAAAATCTGGCTATGAAGTCTGCGCAGCATAAATCCGCGAGCCATATTTGTTGTGTGCAAAAATTGAAATAAATAATTTTTAGAAAGAAACCTAGGATATATGACAAAGACGTATGTTTAAAGGTATCGTTGTTAATTGAGTTTCCAGTCTGTGAATGGAGGGTAACGTAATCTTAAACGAGTCCGAATTTATTGAATTTGAGCCGAGTCTCAAATCCGAAAAAAAACCGGCTTCAATTGAGCGCCGACTTAAATCTTGAAGCATTGAATACAATCTTTCAAAAGTCGATTTAATTCTTCAAAAACAAAACAAAATTTATTGGATTTATTTTTGTTCCACGGGCAACGCCAGGCATTTCAGCTATTATATATAATGAGAAATCTGTAAATATAAACATCTATGGTGTAAATCTCTGTATTTGAAATGTATCCATCTGTGTCGGATAAAGTGTCAAGTTTGCGGATATATTTATAAATATTGAACAAAAATTAATTCATGACAAATATGAAGTTTATCGCACGTAATATGATTTATGCAGTTACTAATGCATAAATACAACTGTAATTTATCTTAGTTTTGATTCATATAACTGCTTAGTCACCATATATCTCGATACAAACTTACATAACAACTAAAATATAAACCTAGAAAGGAACCGAGTTTTTGCCACAAACTCAAGTTTTCGAATCCTTAAATATGTGCAACCTGATGATGTACACCTTGGATATTTCAAACTTAGATATTTTGATTCAACAGAATTCTAAGGTCTAGCGAAATTTGGTTTCAATGTTGTAGCACAAAAAAATTCCTTTGTTTATTAGATTTCATATTTTTTGAACATTTTATTTTTAATTAAAATATCTAATTCACAAACTACCTGCGATAGCCCATCTTACTTCCAGACCTATACTTTCCTCTAGAACCTGAAAATTAAAAAAGTCTTATATAATTAAGGAGAGATGGTGATTTTGTCACGTGTACACATTTTAGGAAAGCCCAGGAATTATTTTCATGAAAACATTAACACAGATTAAATATTGATGGATGGATGTTAAATTGAATTTTTTTTTTAAACCTGACATGACTATTGACCATAAATCAATCAGGTTAGGATTAAAAAAAAGGAAAAATTGGTAAAAATTCAAAGTAAGAAAAAAAAAGCCTGTGCTGAGTAATATGATGATTACAAGTTTCCTGGAGAGACAATATATTCTTCCTTTTACAACATTTTTAACCAAATAAAAGAGTTATCACACACAAACCTATAATTTTCATCTTTATTGGGATATCTTGCACTTTTATACAGAATTAAAATGAAATAAACACATTTCACTACATAGTGGTGAATTATTTCAAAAGTTTAAAAAATTTCATCAAAAACTTAAATTTCAATTTTAGAGAACTTTGAAACAAAGACAAAACATTTTTCAAATCCCCTTCAATATAGAAAAATTCAAATGATTAAAGGAATTTAGGCTTCGTCACAAACTCTGATTTTCTAGTCTCTATATCTTTGCAACATGATTGTGTAAAGCTCTGATATTTCAAACTTAGATTATTTGATCTAACATCATTCATAGTTTGAAAGATCTAAGGTTTAGATCATCAGGTGGCAAAGATATATGAAATATAAAATCAGATTTTGTAGCAAAAATTCCTTTCCTTTATTTTTTTAAGAAGCAATGTAAACATTAAACTTACTTTTCTATTTCTGAAACATCTGTAGTAAAAACTGTTAAATGAGTTGTTTAAAAGGGATAGAGCAGAGTGATGATATTTTTATTTTTAGCGAAAATATTTTTTACATTAAAACCCTTAGACAAATAATAGGATTGTATTAAGCTCGGGNTTTACATGAACTGAATACGATAATTTATGTGAACCTTTATTTTGTAAAGTGTCATGTACGTCTTTCAACGGTTCCAAATAAACCTTTCACTTATCGGGAATTTTTTTATTTGCAGCAATAGTTTACAGTTTACAGTCCTTACGCAGTGTATTCTCTCCCCTCTGAAACCAAATACGGTGGACCCGACAAAGTGGATTAATATATTCATAATGGCCGACCTTTACATTTTTATTAAAAGGAATTGAGTCTTTGCCACAAACTTTAATTTTCTAAACTTTATATATTTTCAACCCAATATTCTAGAAAATAACAACTATGGTTCTTATCCCAACTGTGTTATCTTTGATTATTGAATCCATGTATATATAGCAAATATCTACCTCACAATTGAGTTTACTCTGGGGTTCAATTCCCAGCATTCGGAGAGAAGGAGGTACATTTAAATTCCTAGATAAATAGATAGATACACTGAGAACTAAAAAACATTCTAAGTATTGTTTTCTTCTTTTTTCTTTTAATCCACGATAGTTTCAGTAGAATTAAATATTTCCATTTACTGATAGCGCCGATTGAAGGATTCAATTTCTATTGGTTCAGAATAGACAACAAACACATGACTTAACCCTGATTGGATCAGGCGCTAATGGTCTCGGCATACAAGAGTGAATCGAAATGTTGTTTAGAATTTAGTAATTTCCAAATAAACTTTTTTTAGAGATATATCAGGTGCCGTAATTGCAAATCACAAACTCCGTGAAAAAGGAAAAACAAAGATTCCATTTTCTCTTATTCCACAGTATTATGTTTCTGGTTTTCGCTTTGATGAATAGATGCTTTTGAGATATGACATTGTCTTTCAAGTTAATAAAAATACTCTAAATAATATTTGTGATTGTTTTTTCTGCCTCTGCAATTTGGTTAGCTGCAGAAAACATCCAAAAAATTCATTTATTTTTATTTTCAAAATTAGCGAAAGTATAATTGAACGATGGACAAGTAATGGACGACAAGAAGAAAGAAAAACAAGAAATATAGAAGTCTCAAAATGTTTCCATCTGATATCATATTGAAATTTTAAAATATTGTAAAATTCAATTAAAATAAATTATCAAAGTTAAAAAAAAATTGTGATTGTTTAGAATTTTTATAAATAAAAACAATGCTTTCTCTTACTTTGGTATTCTTATACTTCCAAAATCAACAAAGAAAGAGATACACCAGACAGACAACCAATCTAAAATAGATTAAATAGAAAAAATAATAATACATTAGAATACAATGTAATAGAATATAATAGAATAGAATACAATATAATTATAGAATAAAACAGAAAAAATAATAGAATTGACACAATTAGAATTGAGTGAATTACAGCTTTAAATATAAATATATTCAGACTGCAATTTGGTTTTATATCTAGAAAACAGATTGCGACCTCTCATATTCATTCATATTTCGCTAGGAGGGGGGGGGGGAGTTATAACGTTGTGGCCCTTATAAATAATTTTAAAAATGGACCGACAAGCATGATTATTATTTTTTGTAAAAAAGAAACGAAACTGCAGTTTACTATTTACTTTTAATTTTATTTTTTAATTTTTATTTTACTTTTTACTTAATATTTAACTTTTTACTTTTTATCTTACTTTTTATTTTACTTCTTACTTTTATTTTACTTTTTACTTAATATTTAACTTTTTACTTTTTATTTTACTTTTTACTTTAATTTTACTTTTTACTTTTTATATAATCAAAAACTAAATCCCGGTTTTAAAAGTTATTTTCTTTACCTATATCAAAGACAGTAAGATCTCCGGGTAGAACTATTACCAGGGTTTTCTCTGAATATCTTCGCAAAGGTTCAATAGAACCATTCTCATCAGATACCTGGGTACCCTGCAGTAAAAACAAATAGAGTGATTGTGTTTACCTAATGTAAAGGAACTGAGTTTTTGCCACAAAATCGGATTTTCTAATCCCAATATCTCTGCAATTCAATGTCGGAGAGCTTTGATATTTCAAACAAAGAATTCTTTTAGATCACATAATGATAGTTTGAAATATTGAAGGTTTATACCATTAGGTTGCAATGATATGGGTATTAGAAGCTCAGAATTTGTGGCAAAAACTCAGTTCCTATACGCGTAAGATTGAAGAATGATTTCAATCATAACAAATCCCAGAGTATATCCCAGTTCCTATACGCGTAAGATTGAAGATTGATTTCAATCATAACAAATCCTTTCATTGAAAAGCTATTGAGAAAAAATGTTTGAAATTTCTAATGTGTAACCAGAGCTGGGAACTTTTGAATGATGGGTATCGGGATTTATGCTTGATCCACTCTTTTTCTTAATCTCAAGATTAAATAATGCTTGTTCTCCCCATGAATTTAATCTCCAGATTAATTAACAGATCGGGATTAAGGATATCCCATTCTAAAGTTTTCAGCTCAGAATAAATTTGTTTTTCTTAAATTTGTGAGTAAACTTGATGAGCAATATTTTTTTGTTATTTTTTAGGTTTTTGGACTTTTCAATAGGTTTCACAAACATTTTAGAAGCTTTTAATAGGTTTCACAAACATTTTAGAAGCTTTAAATAGGTTTCACAAACATTTTAGAAGCTTTTAATAGGTTTCACAAACATTTTAGAAGCTTTTAATAGGTTTCACAAACATTTTAGAAGCTTTAAATAGGTTTCACAAACATTTTAGAAGCTTTAAATAGGTTTCACAAACATTTTAGAAGCTTTTAATAGGTTTCACAAACATTTTAGAAGCTTTTAATAGGTTTCACAAACATTTTAGAAGCTTTTAATAGGTTTCACAAACATTTTAGAAACTTTTAATAGGTTTCACAAACATTTTAGAAGCTTTAAATAGGTTTCACAAACATTTTAGAAGCTTTAAATAGGTTTCACAAAAATTTTAGAAGCTTTAAATAGGTTTCACAAACATTTTAGAAGCTTTAAATAGGTTTCACAAACATTTTAGAAGCTTTTAATAGGTTTCACAAACATTTTAGAAGCTTTAAAAAAATCGTTAAATAGAAACATTTGCTTTCCTAACACAATTCAAATGTCAAATTAAACCCTTGAAGTAAGACATTTAAGCAAAAACATTGTTTTGTATTTTGATATATTTTTTCTTAGGATACAAGTTTTGCATAGTTTGAGAACAGCAATAAAATATAGTTTTGGAACCTTATTTTTATAGAACTGTATTTTGTGAAGGAACCTTTTACAATTTAAAAAAAAATTATCAGTACATATTCATTATACTACTTATTTTATGATACAGTACTTATCCTTCTTACCACTCACTGTACGGAATTAAGTGTTAAGACTGAGTAATTTTGTTTAAAATCTGGTCTGATAATCTGGTTAGATAAATCAGCGGATTAACAGACAGTCGTTAATAAAGTTGCCATATGTAAACTTTTGTTCAGTTTGTTAATACAGTAAAAAAAAGTTTGTCTTATCATAAACGGGTTATTTGGTTTTAAATGCCTTGAAAATAACAGGGTTTCCTTTCGTCTCCGTTAGTTGTCAATATGCATAATTGAATGATAAAAATGTTTACCGTTGGTCCTGGTTTATTTCCAACTCCGACCCAGAAATGTGCATCAGGAGCTTGTCCATCGTAGGTAAAATTAGGTATAAGGAAGGTCTGAGCATCAACGACAACAACTCTAAAATATTTGAAGATAATTTGTCAACAACATCAACAACAGCATCTTAATTTTGTAGTTGAACCCAACCAACAACAAAATCTGTAATCAGGAAATTTCGGGCGTCAATAACAACAGTTTTGAAATGTTCGATAATTTATCAGTAATGGAAGCAACAACAGCATCCTTACTTTTTGGATGTAACCCAACAACAAAATCTAGTATTCATTTGTAATCAGGAAACTTCAAGCGTCAATAACAACAGCTCTAAAATATTTGATATTTAACAGCAATCAACAACAGCAATAGCATTTTTATTTTCTGGATTTCTCCCAACAACAACATTTATAATTTATTTGTAATCAGGCAGTTCCGAGCGTCAATAACAACAGCTCTAAAATATTCGATATTTTTAGCCAAAAACAAAACCAACACCTTAAAGTGCTGTGACAAAAATCTAAGGGGGGGCGCCAACTCCCCCCCCCCCCAGCCTGCTTAGGGTAAAATCAACAAGAAAATTGACAATTTATTTGTATTAGGAAGGTCTGATAAAGATCTTAAAATTTAACAATAATAACTAAAAAAAATGACGACAAGAATGACTTGGAATTATGTGTACAAAAGTGTTCACATAGTAAAAAAAACAATGCAACAGTTAAAATTCGGTGTGCTTTAAATTAACTGTAAATCTGTTAATTTAAAAAAAAACGGGGAACGCAATATAATATTTACATATTCGTCCTTTATTAGATTTCGAGTTTTGCATTAAAAATCTCTTTATTTGAAAGAAAAGGAAATAAAGTTCATAAAGTACATCAACAAAAATATTTAGATTTGCTTTTTAAATGATTTTTTTCAAACCTGAATGGAGTTGTAAGTTAATTCAGTGTTTAAAGCACGATATTATTTATATATATGTGATTTTGTTTACATATTAACTGTAAATACTTGTGTTTTCTAATGTATATATTTCTTTGAGTGAAGGAATACCCTCAAAGAATGAAAATTCAGAGTCGACTGTAGTAGGAAATGTTCACATGCCTGTTTCCTTATATTAAGTTTTTTCTTTGTCCAATCATAAATAGGCAATGAAAACTATATTCAAGACATGAAGACTTCATTTAACCTTGAGATAGTCCTATTTCAAAGAGCTTTAGGTCGTCTTTACAGTCTCATGCTTTGTGAATAACTCTGTATATATTGTTTACTTGGTACTTACTTGTCAGAAGAAACATCGTGAATTCCGTCAAAGTTTGATATTTTCTGTGGTCTAAACATATTCTTTAAATTATTGATCTTGTGGTTTTGCTTTTAATTATATTTCTATAAAGATGTATTGTGTATTCATGTTTCAGTAATTATATTATTGTGATGGGGGGGTTAAATAGTATTGAACTAGAGACAATAATCAATGATCCTAAAACTACAGTTTTAAATAAACATTAAAAAACCATTTTACAACAAATCTTGACAATTTCTGATATAGAACTCATAATCAATGGACCATCGGATTTCAAAAGTATTGTTTTGTCCGGATGAATTTTACCTTTTTAAAAATAAGGAAAATTGGTTTAAATATCCCCTTTGATATTCATGGTAGACCACATTTTGTAATGCTCAGAAGGTTAGAAAAGGTAGCGTATATGGAGGATTTGTTTTTTCTTCAAAACTGTTCAGCTCGTTTAACTTAATTATTACTTAGATTAAGTTTGGATTATTTAGCACAGTGCTTTAATTAGCATAAGCTTTAGATAATTAATGACCAGGAAAATATAAAATTTTATTATATTTACAAAACTTTATTTTAACATTGATTAAAAAATTTTGATAATTAGACACGTTAACAGAAGGGATTCGCACAAATTCAGTAAAAATAAATTTGCTTTTTACGTATTTTTAAAATATTTTTTCTATCCCAAAAAAAGTATAACAAAAGAAAATATAATAAAGGTTTTGCATAACATTATAAATAGCATCTTATTTCTGGAATTAAGGAATATAAAATAATTAAAATCAGGGAATATAAAAATAAAGAATATTCCTGGGATAAAGAAATCAAGGAATATAAAACTAAAGCATAATCCTGGGATAAAGTAATCAAGGAATATAAAACTAAAGAATATTCCTGGGATAAAGGAATTAAGGAATATAAAACTAAAGAATATTCCTGTGATAAAGGAATCAAGGAATATAAAACTAAAGAATATTCCTGGAATAAAGGAATCAGGGAATATAAAACTAAATAATATTCCTGGGATAAAGGAATCATGGAATATAAAACTAAAGAATATTCCTGTGATAATGGAATCATGGAATATAAAACTAAAGAATATTCCTGGGATAAAGGAATCAGGGAATATAAAACTAAAGAATATTCCTGGGATAAAGGAATCAAGGAATATGAAACTAAAGAATATTACTGGGATAAAGGAATCAAGGAATATAAAACTAAAGAATATTCCTGTGATAAAGGAATCAAGTAATATAAAACTAAAGAATATTCCTGGGATAAAGGAATCTAGGAATATAAAACTAAAGAATAATCCTGGGATAAAGGAATCAAGGAATATAAAACTAAAGAATATTCCTGGGATATAAAACTAAAGAATACTCCTGGGATAAAGGAATCAAGGAATATAAAACTAAAGAATATTCCTGGGATAAAGGAATCAAGAAATATAAAACTAAAGAATATTCCTGGGATAAAGGAATCAAAGATTATAAAACTAAAGAATATTCCTGGGATAAAGGAATCAAGGAATATAAAACTAAAGAATATTCCTGGGATATAGGAATCTGGAAGGAATAAAAAACTCTCCAAAGTTCACTGAGAAAGCATCACACCAGACAGATATCCAACTAAATATGAATAAAATTGAATAATTGATTAATTAAGTGTAATTGACTGAAGAATACAGAAATCCCTTGATTTACGGTTCATTTTAAATATATTCAAATAGTGATTAATTGATTTAGTAAAGGGAGTGTTCACCTATCTTTTAAAAATACACATTCAATATTATACAGTCTTCTAGAAACACAAGTTCACGACAAAGGTTCAAAGATGACCATGAGGACCAGAATAATCGTGATTTTTGTCAAACTCAGTTTAGCGTTAAATAATATTTCAATCCATTTCAGATAATATTAATAAATCTACGAAATTTTTGTTTCGGCTTTCGACTTTTTTGGCCCTAATGGATGACAGCCTTGATTGCCTTAGTTAGCATCATTAATCCAAAATTTTTGGTATTGTGTGAATTTTGGAAAAAACAAATTGTCACTATAATTTATTGATGGATTAGCGTGAAGTAATAATCATTTTTTTACAACAAGTAAATGATTGATGATTATATAGATTGATAATATCAACGTTAAAATAGATTTCTTAATTTTAAAGTTCTGAAGAGAGGAAAACTTATTTGTTGAAAAAATGCATAATTGGAAAAATATAACATAGATAAATTTTACCCAAAAATCAATTTTTTAATGCAGTACCGTATACTTGCACTATACGTCAAATTAAGTAAAAAGCTCTTCGGGGGGGGNAAGATCAAGATTATTAAGATTTAAGTTTTAAAAAGTAAGGTATTTCTCTTTAAATATACTGAAAAATTTTAGAAATTAGAAATTAGAATATAAACAAAGACAATATTTTTTCAAAGTTTTGCAGAGTAGCTTTTCTAAAGGTTTTATAAAGTTACATCTTTTTCCTTTTTATTTGATGGAGTTTGTAAATGCCAGAAATGAGTGGAAAATGCAAATCAAACCCAACTAAAACCAATAATTTGATATACATCATGATATTTTTCTAGGGGGGGGGGAAATGCGCGCGACATTCAAAAAGTTTACCCCGCCCCCTACAGAATCATTATTTACGCCCCTGAGTGTACTGTCTTTGGGCGGAAAAGTAAATACAAGACAGATGTCACAGCCTGACATGGAATCCATTTCTCAAAAATAAACAATGAAATATTCTGGACAGAGGAAACTATTATCTGAATTTTCAGAATTGTCAAAACGCTTGTTTACAAATTCCGCCCAGAGAGAACTGATTTTAATATGTTATACGCAGAGTATACGCGACCGCAATTAATTTTCCTTGCCTTATTGCAATGTAACCTAAAATGTTGATTTTACCTTATATCAGCTAGAGTTTCTCCTCCAGGCAGGGTTAGTACAATATCTTGGTCTCGATATCTTCCTAGCTTATCCATGGAACCCTAGTACAATAGTACAATATTGGTATACCTATAGTACAATACAATATTGGTAGAACTGTATTACAATATAGTACAATAATAGTAGGACCATAGTACAATATAGTACAATATTAGTAGAACTATAGTACAATATAGCACAATATTAGTAGGATTATAGTACAATAGTACAATATAGTACAATAGTGTAGAACTCTAGTACAATAGTACAATATAGTACAATATTAGTAAAACCCTAGTACAATGTATAATATTAGTAGAACTCTGGTATAGTATTCTAATAGTAGTATAATAGTACATTTTTAAGAAAATTACATAACCATAGCTGGAAGATTTACAGCCGGTGAAAAATTAAAAATTTGAAGTGACAAATTTCAATAAATTTTTCAATAGATTATTTAATGGAAACAGAAAAATCCTCTAAATTTACCGGTTCATAATCAGAAGTAGCTCAAAACCTTTAAATTATAATGATAATGCCTAATTCCTTATTTTTTGTTGATGTAAAATACATATTTGAAAACAGTTATATTAGAATCTAAGTCATCTGGTATTTTCAGCAAATACAGTTCGTGAGACACAACACGGACTTTGATAGCTAATAATTCATTGAACATAATAAAATAAATAAACTGAGCTGAAAACTTTAAAATGAGATATCCTTAATCCCGATCGAGAGTGGATTAAGCATTAATCTCGATATCCACCATTCTAAAGTTTCCAGCTCTGTAACGACAAATATTCATTTTACTATGTTTTTTTTTGGTGGCAGTTTTATTATTATTACAAGATAATTTGACTGCTAACAGTGTATCGTGCCTCAACCCATGTCTGAAATATAGNGTATTTGAAAACTCTGATCTAAGGGTGGGACTGTTTTGTTTAAAAAGTTTCAACAACAAAAAGTAATATTTATTCTAACTATGTCAAAATGTGTATTAAAAATTTCGTTTTGAAACACTGAATTCAACAATTTTCCAATTAAAGGCACAAAAGGACTTTTCATCTGAAACAAAAAACTTGGCTAGATCATACAATTTTCAAAATATCAAAAACCAACCAATGAGCAATATTTATTGGTTCTAGGCGCAACTTTAGATACCCATATCGATATATAGATACCCATATCGATATATAGATACCCATATCGATATATAGATACCCATATCGATATATAGATACCCATATCGATATATGTTTCATAAAAAATGAAAAATCAAGTTATCTGTAATCTTTTAAAATGGAATTGCGCTTAACCATTTATAAAAATCAAAAAAAAGTTTGTTTTACGTTTAAATGAATATTTTTCAGCTGAGTTATGGTAATTTTTGAGAAAATGTTCATATTGTCCCAGTGTTAATTATACCAAGACAACTTTTTGATTGATTTTTTAACATGGTGGTAGCTGTATTTCTGATTTGTTCTGTTATCTAATTATGATTTAATATACTCACACCCTACAGTTTTATTACAAAACAGCGTGGGAATATAAATCCTAATCAATAGACATCTTTAGTAGTTTGGACTATTCAAACTAGCGTGAACTTAGATATATCATGCAATAGACAACTTTAGTAGTTTGGATCATTCAAACTAGCGTGAGCTTAGATATATCATGCATATTTCACGCAATCACGAGGCAAAAACTTTGATTTGAATAGTGCATTGTCACATCAACTATACCGACTGAGATATCCACAACAACAACAACACATTTTAATTGCTAAGGATATTTATTAATATGAATAATTATTATATCCGGGGATATCTGAAAATCCACCGTCAAGTATTTAATGGTTCTGTCAATATATCAGAAAGCTGTGGCTTTCGATCACAATTTGAACCATTATTCATAATATTTTAGGCTTTTTTCTAAAATACTTTTTTGTCGGCATATACACTTTGAATGAAAAAGTAAAAGATAAACAAATCCGTAAGTTTTAATATTGTTAAATTATAGGCCAAAACACGTTTGATTTCAAATAAATGAAANTTACTTACAGTGATAACCAGAAAGCAGAAAACAGATCCATTTCGCTTAATAAGTGATCTAATAGGTTAATAGTAAAGCTATTTGCTTTGTAACAACACAAATGCACTTCAGTATTGTTTTAATGTCGTCTTCTTATACTACGGTTTTCTGGTTATCACTGTAGCATGTTATAAACAGATTTAAAGTACGCAAGTTTTGACCTCAAATAGATTAACTGATTGTAAATGTTTCCTCACCTTTTCATTCGCAATCTGGATCCCATTCCCTGATGGTCTTCCACCAGATCCAGCGTAGAAATATGCTGCTGGTCCTTCACCATCATATCTATATATACAAAGAAGTAATCTATTTTTTGTTTGTCCGATCATAACTCATAAATCCCTGGGCCGATTTGCCTCAAAAAATGATGGGGGAACTCGGGGGAACCACAGGGATTTTTCTTAGCTTGATTTTATGATTCTGAGACTAGTGGATTGACTTTTATATGGAAAAATAGCAAACATCTTAATTTACGACACACGGCGGGTAAACGGCGGGAGTAAATATGAGTACCCTGGGCAACACTGGGTTCTCAAGCTAGTTTAACATACAAGGATATGAATACACCTCAATTTAACATTTCGAATTAGTAATGTTGAACTACAAGAATTCATGCATTACAAACAGGCTGCTTTGTCAAATTAAATGTTAGTAAGATTTACTAATATTCCTGTATTAACTATAACAAAACGTTGAAAATCCATTTAAGCCATTTTTACAGAAATACCCGCTCTGATTTGCTTGTATTTTTCCACATTTTAAATCGCCATTTTCGTTTCCTGTAAATATTATTTATTTTTAAAATTAAATTGAATATTAAGAATTATTTTGTTTAAGAACCTTAAGAAATTGTTTTTTTTTGCTGTGTGTTTATAAACTTGTTTTTAATTTTCGTTTCATACACTGACAATTTGTTTAAAAATGGTGCTCGGCCTGTTTTAAAACCGCAATTCTTGGATAACAAATTCTTTATTTAACCTTTGAAGTTTGAAAATCAATTAAATTCTAACTCATTTCAACATTTTTTACCCTCTATCATTGGACTAAAAATTGGATCTTGACACAGAAAAATTTAAATTTGATTTACATGAAAGAAAATATACTTACGTGAATCCACGAATAAAAATAGTTCTTGAATCCACTGCAAACACTTCCCCAGCCACTCCGTGAAATCTAGAAAAAAAAATTATTTAAAGGTTGAACGTATCAAATGACGTCATTTTGAGTGGCATATCCGATAAACAACCGCAAGCTAAGGATACATAAGGAAGATATCGCCGTTTTTATCTAAAATTTTCTCTCCAGCATAAATCTGCAAATGACTTTATTGGCGAAGAAAAAAAGAGTCTACATTTAGCTAGAAAAAATATTTAATTCATCATTGATTAAACAAAGGTTTAAGAAGCGTACCCTTGTGAATAGAAAATTTTATTTAATAATCCTCTTCAAATTGCTACTGATGGTGTATGTAAACTTTATAGCACGTCGTGCCAGAATAATAGTGCTATAGGTAATTTTATGAAACGTTTGTATACTTGTTTTATGTAACTTAACTCTTTTTATACATTCTTTCTATTGAAATCTAGTTAATATCTAAGACAATGCTAATATCCTTTTGTACAATTTTTTTATTATTTAATATCAACATTTTTTATACATTTTTTCTAAGGCTATAACCTTGTTTGGAAGTCTGCTACATATGTGCCAAAGTAATCATTTGCTGAAACCAAATCTAGCATCCACAGCAGCAAAATCATCTGAAATAGATAGATTAAACACTTTTTCATGAAATTGGGTAAAGAAAGGTTTGTATTAAATATATTATAATATTTTTACTCGTAAATATACAACATATATAGTTTTATTGTATTAACATTATATATATTTTAAAAATGTAATCCTTAAATCAATAATATCTCTATAAAGGATTTAAGAAAGTCTCTTACTGATACTTGTATAAGAATTAAAAGATTATATATTGATATATTTATGATGATTAAAAGGTACTAACAGTATTTACTGATATCTCTGTAAGGATTAAAATGTTATACATTGATATATCTTTAATGATTAAAAGGTACTAACAAATATCTCTGTAAGGATTAAAAGGTATTTACTGATATCTCTGTAAGGTTTAAATGGTTCTAACTGACATCTCTGTAAGGATTAAAAGTATTTACTGATATCTCTGTAAGGATTGAAAGGTTTACTAACAGATATCTTTGTAAGGATTAAAAGGTATTAACAGATATCTCTGTAAGGATTAAAAGGTTTACTAACCGATATCTCTGTAAGGATTAAAAAGTATTAACAGATATCTCTGTAAGGATTAAAAGGTTTACTAACTGATATCTCTGTAAGGATTAAAAGGTTTACTAACAGATATCTCTCGTGATTTTTGTCAAANACTAACTGATATCTCTGTAAGGATTAAAAGGTTTACTAACAGATATCTCTGTAAGGATTAAAAGGTATTAACAGATATCTCTGTAAGGATTAAAAGGTTTATTAACTGATATCTCTGTAAGGATTAAAAGGTTTACTAACTGATATCTCTGTAAGGATTAAAAGGTATTTACTGATATCTCTGTAAGAATTGAAAGGTTTACTAACAGATATCTCTGTAAGGATTAAAGGGTATTAACAGATATCTCTGTAAGGATTAAAAGGTTTACTAACAGATATCTCTGTAAGGATTAAAAGGTATTTACTGAAATCTCTGTAAGGATTAAATTGTTATACATTGATATATCTATAATGATTAAAAGGTACTAACAAATATCTCTGTAAGGACTAAAAGGTATGAACAGATATCTCTGTAAGGATTAAAAGGTATTTACTGATATCTCTGTAAGGTTTAAATGTTTTATTACTGATATCTCTGTAAGGATTGAATGGTTCTAACTGACATCTCTGTAAGGATTAAAAGGTTTACTAACAGATATCTCTGTAAGGATTAAAAGGTATTAACAAATATCTCTGTAAGGATTAAAAGGTATTAACAGATATCTCTGTAAGGATTAAAAGGTTTACTAACTGATATCTCTGTAAGGATTAAAAGGTTTACTAACTGATATCTCTGTAAGGATTAAAAGGTTTACTAACATAATTCTCTGTAAGGATTAAAAAGTATTAACAGATATCTCTGTAAGGATTAAAAGGTTTACTAACTGATATCTCTGTAAGGATTAAAAGGTTTACTAACAGATATCTCTGTAAAGTTTAAAAGGTTTACTAACATATATCTCTGTAAGGAGATAAAAGGTTTACTAACAGATATCTCTGTAAGGATTAAAAAGTACTAACATATATCTCTGTAAGGATTAAAAGGTATTTACTGATATCTTTGTAAGGATTAAAAGGTTTACTAACAGATATCTCTGTAAGGATTATAAGGTATTTACTGATATCTCTGTAAGGATTAAAAGGTTTACTAAAAGATATCTCTGTAAGGATTAAAAGTCTCTTTCCGTGACAATGTGGGGCAATGTCCATTTATACGCTCGGTGGACAGGAGCACCGGCCCCAACTTCACTGAATTTAATAATAATAATAACTAATATCTCTATAAGGATTGAATGGTTCTAACTGATATCTCTATAAGGATTAAAAGGTATTTACTGATATATCTGTAAGGATTAAAAGGTTTAATAACTGATATCTCCTTAAGGTTTAAATGTTTTATAACTGATATCTCTGTAAGGATTGAATGGTTCTAACTGATATCTCTGTAAGGATTAATAGGTACTAACTGATATCTCTATAAGGATCGAATGGTTCTAACTGATATCTCTGTAAGGATGAAAAGGTACTAACTAATATCTCTGTAACGATTTAGAGGTACTAATTAATTTCTTGGTAAGGATCAAACTGTTCTAACTGATATCTCTGTAAGGCCGGATTAAAATCTTCTAAGGCTGATGTCAATGTAACTGAGAAAGAATCTATTTTTATTGTGCTAATGGTGGTATTTAGATTTAAATAAATACGCAGAATTACAAACTAAAATTTGGAAACTATCTAGCACTGTAATTGTTATTTGGTTAAATATCTCTGGCATTTCTGTCGTGGTTCGTGGCTTTATCTTTTAACTGAGTCCGCAACATTTTTAATTGTTGAATGTAAACATAAAATACCTTGAAATTTAGATATTTGCATTCAAAATGGCGTTGCATCTTTAATTTCAAGTTCTTGATTTAATGTTTAAGTGCGTAGGAAAAATATTTTTAAATAAATTAAAAAAGAGGAAAACATGGGAAAATAAGAATCTTATTTTAAAAATATAAGATGTCAATATTAGGATTTTAAAAAAAATTTATTTAAAAGTTTAATGATTAATGATTATTATTTATTCAATGATCAATCAAAATGTTGCATTGAATTTATAATTTATCAAAAGTTGAAACCAAAACCACTTAGCTCACAATAACTTTTGAATTTAAAATTTGATTTTATTTTTTATTTTGTTTTTTCTGAAAGGAATTGAGTTTTTACCACAAATCTCAACAACCAGATGATGCATACCTTTCATATTTCAAACTTACATAATTTGATCCACCAGAATTCATAATTTAAAATGTCTATGGTCTATGACATTTGGTTTTAAAGAAATTAGGATTTAAAAATTCGAGTTTGTGGCAAAGACTCAATTCCTTTATGTCCATTTGATGGTGAAAATATTCCATTATTCTGCAGAAAACGATTTTCTCCCACTTTTCCAATATAGACATTCAAATATTGACAAACATAATCGGCAACCAACAAACAAGAAATATTGAAAATAAACTCGTTAGTTATACGCAGCATTTTTGTCTAAATTTTTTCTTCAACGAGCTGGCCTGAAATAATTAAACTATGAACACGCATTGCAACCCTTTACCTTTGCTTTAAAGCCTTTTATAGGGGTGGGACTGTGGGGAGGGGGCTTGGCTTGGAGCCTTTCTTTGGATTTAGACCCCCCAGTCTTTACTGAGTTTAATAAACATAAAGAAGTTTTCCTTAAATGAAAAATGACTGTTGGTTTTGACTAAATTATAGTGTTACTCAAAAGGTAAAAAAATTTTGCTTGATTTTATGTTTTACTGTCAGATTTTTCACTATTAACAAAAAATGTGAAATAATATCTATTCATATTAATAATTGTATTGATAATTTAATATGCAGATTATTGAATTAAAAAAATACAATGTCGTTCGTCATTCCTGATTTTTGTATTAATGGTTAAAAAAAAATTTTGCTCAATACAAGAGACAAATAATCTTTTGAGAGAATAAACATTTTTTATGTTTAAAAGATGTAACAATGAGAAGTGTTTGAACCTAACGTGAGTATAAGGGCCTGATTTACTGATATGCCTAGATTCAGGCATTAAACAATGAAAGACTATATATCTTGATTTAACCTCTAATTTCCTGAACAATTCTTCAACTTCATCCCATGCAGTGTACATTTTTTGCTTGTTGGTTTGTGTCAAATAAACCTCAAAATGGATCAACCGATCGGAATTGAATCTTTGACACAAACTCTGATTTTCTAATCCCTACTTTTTTTCAACCCAAAATAGTAGACCTTAGATTTTTAAAACTATTTTTTCGTTTTGATTAAAAAATCTAAGTTTGAAATATTAAAGGTTTTACACTATCAGAAGGCAATGATATATTAGTTAAAAAATTTGAGTTTGTGGCAAAAACTCAATTTCTTTATGTGGCAACTTGCATGATCAAAATCAGGTCAAAATTTAAAGATATTTAGCAGCCAACTTCACTAAATTATAATTTTAGCAGCCAACTCCACTATATAATTTTAGCAGCCAACTCCACTAAACTATAATTTTAGCAGCCAACTCCACTAAAATCCTTTTTTATTGGAGAGCGATGAAAAGTAGCAAATTAAAAAACAGTTAAAAGTTAATTTTACCTGGAAAAAGAGGTTGAAGCGTCTTAAAAGCAAATCGTGCAAAACCTTTAATTGTTCAAATATAACCGTAAACTTTTCCCTCTTCGGAGACTTAGCAGCAAAATCGCTAAAAAAAATTGGATTAATGAGAATGCCTAAGAGACAGTGGTTCATTTAATTCCCAAAACAGCTGATTTTCTCGATCCCAAAATTATGTTAAAAAATGCCCCCAATTGTAAATGCCCCCAATTGTAAAAAATGCCCAAAATCAAAAAATCATTTTCATATTCCACTTACCCATTTGCTCCCAAATGAAAAAAATCAACCATTTCATACTCCCGGTAATACATATTATTTAAAGGAATTAAGTCTTTGCATCAAATTCACTTTTACTAAGCCCTTTATCTTTGCAACCTAGTGGGAGAAGACTTATAGAATTCATAGTTTGAAATATCTAAGGTCTCCGAAATTTGGTTGCAAAGATTATGGGGAAATAAAATCAAAGTTTGCGGCAAAGACCAATTTCTCTGATAGTTCGAAAATAGATATAGTTGTAATTTCTTCTGCCAGGTGGATCTTTCATTTATTTTTGCTCAAAATCTAATTAAATAATCAAAGAAAATATTAAATAAAATAATATCCAACAAGTATATAATATTTACAAAGACAGACGTCTATATAAACATGAATCAGCAACTTTACTCTACATTGCATAAATTTAGAATTTTTGCATGATTTTAACCTTATTTTTTTGAGTATGCGAAATGCTTGTATCAAGATACGGTAAATAAGTCACTAAATTCACAACATAATATTAGATTCTTATTCTTAATAATAAATTAATATTAAACATGAAAGACAA